AGGTAAAATTTTGACGTTCGTATTCACCACGAGAAGTGTCAAATTTTTACTTTGATCCGTCAAAATTTTCTATTTTCTATCAATTGGCACAGGGCCAATGTGTGCAAATTAATGTAAAATTCTTGTCAATATCACTGGTCTACAAGGGTTTTGCGAATAAGACGGGACCTGGTGTTTCCGAACGGATTTTTCGTGCTGAACACGAATCTGGGGTCCAAAACTTCCCATCACGTCACGTTTTCGAGAAAAAAGGGGTTGAAACCCCTAAAAACAGCGTTTTTGGCCATTTTTGAAAAATTGTAGAGCTGAACCCTGACGTGCTACAAACTTTGTATATGTCAGAAATTAAAGGCTAAATCGTGCCCTTTCGAATGAGCCCTATGCCGAATTAATCGCATGCACCCTTAGATCAGGGGGTGTATTTGTGTCTAGGAGTCCAATTTTTATATCCACCATATTCGACCCGTCATCTTAAATTTTTAAAATCTAACTGCAGATTCGTAATCAGCGACTTTTAATATAGTTAAAACCTTGGCATTATTAATTTTCTATGATCGTTTAAGATTAAATTCTTTCTGTGATCAATTTTTCCTGCACCCCTAAACACAAATACACCCCCTGCTTTAAGGGTGCACGCGATCAATTCGGCATAGGGCTCATTCGAAAGGGCACGGTTTAGCCTTTAATTTCTGATATATGCAAAATTTGTACCACGTCAGGGTTCAGCTCTATAATTTTTCGAAAATGGCCAAAAACGCTGTTTTTAGGGGTTTCAACCCCTTTTTTCTCGAAAACGTGACGTGATGGGACATTTTTGACCCCGGATTCGTGTTCAGCACGAAAAATCCGTTCAGAAACACCAGGTCCCGTCTTATTCGCAGAAAAAAAGTTGAAATTTGTAGACCAGTGTATTTAATGTGAGTTTCAAGTGATATTATGTGAGTATATAATTAGTGTTAAGTATACATGTACATATGTAACTATTGTTGTGTATATATGTATGTATGTATGCAACTATTATTATGTTTTTGTTAATCATGGTTTTCGTTCGTTCTTCATGTTTATTGTTTATCGTTTAAATAAAACAGACTCCCTGAAGATGACACGAGAGTGTCGAAACGCGTAGGAGGGACAAGGGAAAAATATAAGCATTTCGTCTTTTACTCCATCGGCCGAAGCAGCTCCAACCCAGCTAACGATAAAAATTTTATTTAAAATAAATTTTTAAAATTTCCGAGCACTATCTTATTAATAAATTCAGTATGCACTATGCAGGTTTTTGCAAATTTCGACGTTGATTGTGCACAAAAATAGTGTCGATGGCGTAGCCGGAGTGATGTGCACAAGAAGTGTTGTGTACCTTTGACATGCAGAAGACCTGTTATTGCATTATCTAAATTGAGAACCAGTTCTTCAGGCTTAGGAGGGTTTGGTTGAACAATTAAACCAGAAGCTGACATAGATGCGTCCATGGTTATTATGCCCGACAGCTCCGCATATCTTTGTGAATTCACTTCCATAGCGCGTTCTTACTCTGCTGATATAATTGCAAATGGAATAGAAACCATCGTTCCCTTTAAATATGTAAAATCAAACATTTTTACCATAAATAAGCACTTGAATGTTTTTTTAATTCCTTTCCATTTTGTTTTCCTTCATACAACTGTATTCGAAAAGCAACTGATAGCTGGCAATGCTGCACAGGTTTCCGCAAGGGTTGCAGCATGTCGATTTTTCGTTTTTCGTAACGTATCTACGAATTATAAATTACGAAAATTCGGGTTCCAGAAAAGGGGTGTTAAGTACCGTTATAATCAGCACAAAAGCTCTATCGATACCTATTTTTAGTTTTTTTCTAGTGAAATATTTCTATTTCGTATGTACGTGCATCTGCTTTATACAGAAGCAAATCTAATTTGTCTTTACATGATCACCCCTATTATGCAACTCGTTCGTATTCGGATTTTGCTACGAATCGTAGAAATGGTATGCTGCAATCCGAATCGTATTTCCGAACTTTCGAAATTCGTAACAATGGCATGCCTAAAAACGAACGAGTAAGCTTTTTTGCGTAATTTTGTACGAAAACAGTTCTGCGTCGGAGGCGAGACAAAAGATATTAATCGATGTGTGTTTGCAGGACATATTAGTGGTGTTCATTTAAACAGGCAAATTTGCCCTTCGCATATACGTATATTTTTATCCACTTCTTTATTTATATAAAAGCAAAAAATAATCTTTGTTGCCCCTTATCGAGAATCTTGGGTCCGGTTTAATTACTTGGCAAGGATTTTCAGTTGTTGTGTCCGAACGCATAACCCGAATCCAAAAACTTTAACATGCAAGTGCAATCAAAGGATGAAACTTTTATTTAAAATAAATGTTTCAAATTTCCGACCACTAGCTTATTAATAAATTCGGTTTGCACTATGCAGTGCAAAAAAATACTGTGGATGGCGTAGCCGGAGTGACATACACAAGAAATGTTGTATACCTTTGACATGCAGACCCCCTCTTCTCCGGCAACACAGAAAGGAGAATTCTACTTATACCTTGGTTATAATACACGGGGCGAATCGTAACAAATCGCGGCGAATTCGTAAGGATCTATTGATTTTAGATGCTTCCGTTTTACGTCGCGTTCAAGTGCATTATAATCGTTCGAATTCATTGCCCATACAATAGGTAATTAAGTGACAGTTCACTCCGTTCCGTTACTTCCATTATAATTCAGGCATTAGTAAGGGTTATAATCCAAGAATGATAGAATACAAGATTGCGCCGTCCTGGGCGTTGACATTTGTGTACCAGAAGTAAACAAAGAATAGAGCGAAAAGAAGAACGAGTTGGAACTCCCAAAGCAGTTCACTTTACAGCGAAAAACGTGTTTTAATATTGCTAAATGCGAAAATATTGCATTTTTCACCTAATCTATTAGAGAACAGTGAACATTTTACTGCACTCCATTGCTTTGCAATTAAGGCTGCTGCAGAAAACTGCAGCACCATCTCTGCGGGATTGATTAGTTAACTTGCTAATGGAGGCTGCATGGAGCAGAAACAAAATCATTGTGAGGAAATGCTGTGAATATAATAATAGAGAAACATTTCGGGAACGGCATTGCCGTGCCCTATGTACACAAAACGCAGCGATTCGTCCCAGCGCTACACTTGCACCTACGCTTCTTGCATCTTGGCGGCTGTCGCAATTTAACACACAGCACTTCATTGTATTAGTTTTTACGCAGTCTTTAGCTCAAAAATCACTCACAAATTGGAAATTAACACAATTTAATCTGATTTTTCACTTATAATTCTAATTTCTTTTTCGCTGATTTGTAAACAAAGGTTTATTTACAAGTTACCACAACTGTCAAAATCGGCAAAACCAAAGTAGCGGTACCACTGACGGCGCCACCTTTGTTCGCTGCACCGTGGTTATAATCCCTAAGCGCGGCCGAAGGCAGAAGCAAGCGCAACAGGTGGTGCACCAAACAAAGTGCATCTTTTCAATGGGTTGGAAGAAGCTGTTATTGCATTAACTGGATTGAGAACCAGTTCTTCAGGCATAGGAGGAGTTATGGCTTGTGGTTCAACAATTCAACCAGAAGCTCATAGATGCGTCCATGGTTACTATGCCCGACAGCTCCGCATATCTTTGTGAAATCATTTCCATAGCGCGGTATTACTCCACTGCTATGATTGCAAATGTAATAGAATTCATCGTTTCCTTCAAAATATGTAAAATCTAACAATTTTACTATAAAAAAAACTTCACGAGTGTTTTTTTTTTTTATTCCTTTCTACTTTGTTTTCCTTCACTCAGCTGTATTCGAAAAACAACTGATGGCTGGCAATGCTGTACGTGGTTGCAGCATGTGGATTTTTCTGGGTTTCGTAGCGTAGCTACGATTACGAATTACGTAAATTCGGGTTCTAAAATAAGGGGGATATTTTTACATTTTCATATGTAAAAAGAGGCATGTACACATGCAAATACATATCAGGATTGTTCAGCATCTTGTGCATATGAACTTGCATTTGCATATTCGTTGCATTTGTAAATTCACAGTGCAAAGTAAATTCCAACTGCAAATCCCAGACCATTTCCACAATATCCTGAAGAACCCTAGTGTGTAAGCGAGCTTTAGTAAACAAATTATAAAGTCATCGAGCAAGAGTCGATTCTTGTCTATCTGACTGTCCCTCTCCACAGAATACAGTTTATACTTGATACATATGTCAGAATATAATTTGCCAATGGAGGCCGCTCATTGCTCTTCGAGAGCAATATATATCAGTGCTTATATCTTACCATCTATTGCCGGCAATTTGGTAGTTTGACAGCTACATTTTCATTTGCACGAAAACTTCGTGGCTGCAACATCATTATTATTTTAATATAAAAGCAAAAATTTAGCTGTTTCCTGTTAAAATATTTGTAATTATGTATTTGGTTGTAACAGAGCATATTTTTTAAATTTTTTAAGCGATTAAATCCGGCAAAAATACGTTTTCGAAGCTATCATACAAATGCTTCTATCAAGATATAAAAAAGCCCACACAAATATTGCCACTGATATAACTTATATCTAGCGACCAAAATGACAGTTGGGCAGCAATAAATTTTTTCCTGTGGAGACGGCCAGTGAGGTAACTGCTCAGCTTTGGTCATTAACTATTGAGATGCCCGACGGCCATTCACACAATCATGGACAGTGCTGTGGCAATGAAGCCACTGACGTAGATCATGCATTTGAAATGGGAATCGAATATTCACTATACAAAAAGATCGATATGGACAATTTGGAGTGTTTGAATGAGGAGTGCGAAGGTAGTGGGAAGAAGGTAGTTAAGGCATATGAAAATCGGCAAAATCATACAGAGGTAAGTCTTCTCTTCGGATTATAAATTTTCTCCCAACTTGGGCTGGCTGTAAAAATAATATGCAAATTTAAAGTTTGTGACAAGCGATGCCGATGAGGAAATGCTGTTTAACATACCTTTTACTGGCAACATCAAACTGAAGGGTATTATTATAGTTGGGGCAGATGATAATACACGTAAAACCATGGAAAGTTTGCTTTGCAAAAAAACTCCCGCATCATTATTGCGTCCATTACAACCAATGTTGATAAAAATTAACTTGCAATTTGCATCTATAAGTGCCAATAAAACGATGCTGTTTGTACCTTTATAGTTGTGGTAAAATGCTCCATCTTTTCGCAACGCCCTGAAGGTTATATGTTTCCCATCTAATGCGCCTAAACAATTTGGAAATTGCCATCGTATAGCAAATTCATTTGCTATGGACTCCCACTCCGAAGAGCTGTTTGGAAACTAAAAAGT